GTGGATCTGGATGGGTCCCGGCATGCTGGCCTTCATGGTGGACGTCAGCTCCTCGTTGCCCTTCATGGCCCGTTCCCATGGTGATACATAGGTGCGTACATACTCCTTCCTCCTCTCCTCCTTATCCGCCTCATTATCCACCAACTCCTCCACCACTGAAACACCCAGGGACAGGTGGGGGAAGAGCACAAAGATGAAGTGCAAAATTATAAATGAAAGAATGAAAATCTACAAAAGTACATCAATGACCATATACCTTCTACTTTCGGCATCTCAGGTTTTGGTGGGACAGGGGGAGGGGACATCAGCAGGTTCTCGAGGTTCTGCTGGAAGACATGAAATAAAGATAGTCCGAACAGTATTTGCATACATACACAACATACATGTACACTCTCCTTCAATTCCTGGCTCTCACCAGGTTCAGGTTGGTCACAATGAACTTGTCGACTCTTTGCTGCCTCATCCTGAACATCTTGGAGCCCTTGTTGGAGAGCAGGGAGAGCTCCTCCAGCATCAAGTCCTTGGGCGTCTTGATCTTGGTGCCCAGGTCGAACTCGGATGCCTCAGGGTCGGTTTCGTCGTCTGCCAGGGAGAGGAAGGAAGAAGAGGTGGACAGAATAAAGGGGCTGAATATGGAACTGCAGGCAGGTAAGCGACAAGAAGGAAAATAGTCAAATATTGAAAAAAGTGCACAGGTAACTTACCCCCCAAAAAATAAGAATAGGTTGCACGGTATTGTAAACAAAGTTAACATTGAATTTAGGGCAAGATAACAGTCATGTTGAATGGACAGAAATTAGAGCAATATTGATTTTCTCATCTAAATCGCTGCAAGAAGAAGAGAATTCTTTGATTTGTTAACAGTTAACAGTTGTTGAAGTTATTTTTAACATTTTCTCATGAACTACTGCTCTTACTTGAATAAATAAACCTGGCTCGGGAACCCAACGATGATTTATCACTGCTCAGGTGAACAATTTCTACGCATTTTTTGTTATTAAGATTCAGAGGATTGTTTTCGGTCTTGGCGAAGCTACTGCATACACTTGTCAACTAAACCCATTTGGCAAATTAAAAGGTGGGTTTAACCTCTAATTAATGCCTGATATTGAATCAGGGATGTGACTGTAAAGGGCAAATACTTTTATCCTCTGGCTTTCACACCGTACTTGTTATGATGAATTACAGTTAAAACCTGTTGTGTTAGAGGGCGTGAGTGTGGATGAAACCAGGGGAGTTGTTGGAATTACTGGGCCAAAGCAATATAGAAGAAAAGGGGCACTGGGGAATGTCACAACAGGGAGAACTGTTTATGAAGGGAAATCCTTATAACATACTGTTGCTCTCTCTCTCCACCTCTCTCCACCTCTCTCTCTCTCTCCTCTGCTGCAGTGATGGAGAGATCTGATGGATTTTACTGCTCCACAGAGCTCCTCATAAAACACTCTGCCCATCCACCACATACACTCTGATATCACTCATAACACCTGGAGTCCAGCCATAAAACAACACACACACACACACACACACACACACACACACACACACACACACACACACACACACAGACTCACACGGACACATCTATAAAGCAAGGAGTTGGCAATGCAATGCTGCTGTTAGCAGTATATCGTAAATCAGACTTGTGCAAGTGGGTGTGTGTTAAGTGTGTGTGTGTGGGTGTGTGTGTGTGAGAGAGAGAGAGAGAGAGAGAATAATTGAGGCTGCTGAGCAGAGCGAACTCTCCCGTGGGGATATTGATTAGAGTGTTAATTCAGAAGAATGTGAAAGTGGAGCTGGCTGCTGACTAGGAGGAAACAGGACAGACTGACAGAGGCAGGGGGGGGGGGGGGGGGGGAACGGAAGCAGGCAACATGCAGAGGGGACGAAGGCATGGAACAAACTGTCAGAACGACAGAGTGCAGAGAGGATGATGGATAGATGACTGGGCATTAACTGGAGCAAAAAGAGGGATAAGCAGGATAAGCTCCTGAATGACTGACTGACTGTCTGTCTGACTGACTGAGAACAAACTGGTTGAAAGGCTCAGATATGGCTACAGATGTGAAAGCAGAAGGAGAAGCAAAGGACGGAAATGTGAAAAGAAACCCACAGATTGCCGAATGGCAGATAGAAGCATGTGCAGACTCTAAGGAAGCAGATTGTATGAGCAAACATTTGGTATATTGTTGGTGTTTATAAATAGAATTTATCAGAAGTGAACTTTAGAAATTAAAATACCTTGATGGCGTAAAAGTACCTTGGATTCATACTTGAATACAATATTCAATTATATTTATTTGTATAGCACCAAATCACAACATAAGCCTATTATCTCAAGGCACTTCACATAAGGTCACGACCTTACAATGAAGAAACCCAACAGGTCCCACATCGAGCAAACACTTGGTGACAAAAGTTGGGTAAATGTATTAACTTTTAAGGCTGCACTCATTTAAAAGAAACTCTGCACATGCCATCTGTATCAGCATTTACATATTTTCCTCACATTCAGCCTCAATTTTTAATGTTTATTAATTTATTTTTGAAACTGGGATTTCCGCTAAAAGTAAAAATAACAGCATGTGGGTCTGAAGCGTGTCCAGCTCCACAGCGAGGGTTGAACAGATGGACCTACTGGTGGGTCTGGCAGACTGAAATGTTTTAAACACTCTGGTGGGTCTTTTCTACAGTAAGTCTCTGGACACACTCTGGTTCACAGGCAGGGATTTTTAGAAAAATAGATAGAGGAAGAATTGAGTGTTTGTTATGGGCTCATATAGCCAACATAGCTCATCAAAGAAAAGAGCACCAATATACTGTATACACTACAGCAATAACCACATGTGTTCAAATAAGTATTTATATACTGTGAAATACATTGATTTTCACAGTATTTCACAGTACATTCGTGGTTTAAATACAAGACGTAAACTATTTCCAATGTTTGTACGTGTTATGGAGCAGAACCACAGTCTATTTTGTGTTGCCTCTAATGGTATCAGGTCTGTAGCTCCTCTGCCATTTGATAATGAGCTGCATCCCTCACAGAAGACTTTAGATATTGTGTTACTGCTTGGAATGTATGTGTGAGTGTGAGTGTGTGTG